AATGTCCCAAGGGAACAAGGAGCAATAAACAGCCCAAGGAGAACTGTTGTCTCGCTTGTAAAGTCCCGCAAGCTGGGACTCAAGGCTGCAGATAGCAGCTTCTCCGGCTGGTGCCCTGTTTGTAGCTTCATCCCTTGCTTGGGATGTTAATGGCTGGCACTGTGTAAACTTGGAGTTAGGCAAATGCCTGAAATCAACAGAGAGAATAGTTTGTGTTCACCAAAGTAGCTGTGCACACTCCTTAGCCTGCCTTTAGCCTCAATAAATGTGAGATGTTTCTGTGGCTCTGGGCTCACTCAGAGAAACTAATCTCAGCGAGACCTCGAAGCTATAGTCATCGGGTCTTCTCAGCTCCAACTTATGACATACAACAGTGGGGCAGCTGCTGGATGTGGACCTCAGTAGGGTGCACATGTGTCTGACCAGTGTGACAAGGGACATCTGTGTTGGCTGGGGCACCAATGAAGAGACAGTGGAAGGTAAGGGTTGTAGCACCTCTTCCAGATTTTTGTTTGGTTGTATTTTGGTTTTTAGTTTAGTTTTTTTGTTGTTTTGTTTTGTTTTTGGTTGAATAGAGTGTTGAACAGGGATTTGAGTAGGCCCTCAGTACACTGCGCATATTCAGAGCTTTGCACATACCCACCATTCTGGATGAGACACACTTGGCCGGCCTCAGATGGCCCAGCATCCGTCAACATCCACAGAGGCCACAGAAAGCTGAGCGCCAGTGCCCACAGACACACTGAGCTTGCACACAGCTAAGCAGAGCTCAGTCCCAAGAGTGGCACGGAGGACAGGCACACATGCACCAGCCTCTGCTCCAGCCAGTGCTGGCTCCTGGCAGTGCTCCCAAATGTCAGCTGAGCCAAATCAAGGTGACTCGTGTCACAGCCCTGCAAGTCACATTTTCACAGTGTCAACCACTGCAACGTTGGCCACGTCCACAAACCCCTGTGCTGCTATTTGCTTCTGTCTTCTCTTCGGATGAACCCACTTTCAAAGCCAAGCAAATGAATGGAAGGCAGACACAGACTCGCCAGGCTGCTCGCCACAGGGGAGCTCTGTCTCCGGTGACCAGATTGGCTCCCCCCAGTGACTTGGCTCGTGCTCTTGCTAGGCCAGAGGGGCATAGATTGCAGGAGGACACCTTGCAGTGCAGAGTGC